TTTGGCCCAATTCTATCACTTTTGGGGTTCAGAATGCTCTTTGATTGTAGGTGAACTATAAATCCCAGCAACTACAAACTTCCAAATGTCAAGGTCTATTTTCCCCAAACTCCACCAGTGTTAACATTTGGACATATTGAGTATTTGTGCCAAGTTTGGTCCAGATCCATCATTGAGTCCACAGTGCTCTCTGGATGTAGGTGAACTACAATTCCAAAACTCAAGGTCAATGCCCCCAAAATATATATTTTTTCTGTTCATCGTGGGAGTTCTGTGTGCCATATTTGGTTCAATTCCATCATTGGTGGAGTTCAGAATGCTCTTTGATTGTAGGTGAACTAGAAATCCCAGTAACTACAACTCGCATATGTCAAGGTCTATTTCCCCTCAAGAGCGCCTCTGGGCAAAATCAACTATACTGCAAATGCTTACTTTGCGTAATGGGTTGAGCCGCCCCTGGGGTCCTATGGCAAAGTGGATTTATCAGTTTTCTAAAAAATACTCCAAACAATCCTCTCTATGATGTAACAACACGGGAAATTTGATGGAGATGAATGGTAATTGAGTCCAACAACAACCTGTTTAAGATTCCAAGAAACACCTTCTATAATTCAAGGGAATTTCTCTTTTCAAAATGGGGCTCGGTTAACCCCCTGGGGGGGAGTATGTGGCCAGAGGGGTACGCTAAAAGCCTATTCACCAAAAAAAAGGCGTATTTTTATTAGGTCATGGGGGTTTCTCTGTGGGAAAAATTTGGGCACCCAAATTTATGTCGTTGGGTGGGGTTGAGGAACGCTTCTGTGTTTGTAGGTGAACTATAAATCCAGCACCTACAAATCCAAATGTCAAGGTCTATTTTCCCCAAACTCCACCAGTGTTCACATTTGGGTATATTGAGTATTCATGGCAAGTTTGGTCCAGATTCATCATTTTTGAGTCCACAATTCTCTCTGGATGTAGGTGAACTGCAACTCCAAAACTCAAGGTCAACGCCCACCAAACCCTTTCAGTATTTTTTGTTGGTCTGGGGAGTTCTGTGTGCCATGTTTGGTTCAATTCGATCATTGGTAGAGTTCAAATGCTCTTTGATTGTAGGTGAACTATAAATCCCAGCAACTACAACTCCCAAATGACAAAATCAATCCCTCCCATAAAACCCGCCAGTATTCAAATTTGGGCGTATCGGGTATTTGTGCCAAATTTCATCCAGTGAATGAAAATATATCCTACATATCAGATATTTACATTATGATTCATAACAGTAGCAAAATTGACAGTCATGAAGTAGCAATGAAAATAATGTTGTGGTTGGGGGGTCACCACAACATGAGGAACTGTATTAAGGAGCGTGACATTGTGAAGGTTGAGAAACACTGCTCTATATTTCTATTTTAAAAAATATTTCCAAGCTGTGGTTTTTAATTTGTGGATATGGAAAACTGACCACAACTGTTTATTTTGGACCAAAAGTTTTCCAAACTTCTTTCTTGTTGTTGTTGTTGTTGTTGTTGTCGTCGTCGTCGTCGTCGTCGTCGTTGCAAGAACCTAGCCTTTCAAACCCAAGCACCAGATCACTGAATGTCCTCTTTACCATGTTTTTGACCCTTTTGCACCTATAAATAAATTGTATGAAAGCTTGGGTATATCTATGTCTAAGAAAAGCAGCATTTGGTAACACGGCGGGCATGCATTTTTAATGGTTGCCATAAAACCCAGCTGCTTTGCCGAGGTCCGCGGCGGCTTTATAGGGTCATTGTACAGCCGCCTTTTACTTAACATCCTCGTCGTTGAATTATTGATGCCCTGGCCATGTTTTATTCATGGTAAACATTAATACCGGTGTCTTTAAGAGGAGAGGTTATGGCTGCTATTTTACCTGCAAGAGATGATATGATGGTGGTCTTTTCCTAGGGCTGTTTCTGTTGGCAAATGCTGCCTTTGGTTAGAGAGCAATAGAGAACCTCTATTGCAGATAATGGCTTTGTAGTCTCCTTTCTGAGTTTTCTCTTATTTATTTATCATGCCAGAAGTGAACTGAGAATACAGTTTTAACGTATAGAAAAACCACAAAGGTAAAAACTTGGCATTATTCTAAATGTCCTTTGATGAGAAGATGGGCCACTTGGAGTGCCTCTGGTGTCTCTGTAAGAAGGTCCTCCATTGTGCATGTAGCAGGGCTCAGGTTGCATTGTAGTAAGTGCTCTGTGGTTTGTTCTTCTCCACTTTGTAGCCCCATTTATTAAGGTTGGCTCTGCATCTCGTGGTGCCAGAGCACAGTTTGTTCAGCACCTTCCAAGTTGTCCAGTGTTCTGTATGTCCATGGGGGAGTTTCTCATCCAGTATCATCCATGGATTGAGATTTTACCATGCCACTTTTGGACTCTTGCTTGCTGAGGTGTACCTGTGAGTATCTCTGGAGATCTTAGCTATTTCTTGATTTAAGGCATTGGCATGCTGGCTGATATCCAAACAGAGGATGAGCCAAAGATGTCACGGTCTTGGTTCTTTCATTATTGGTTGCTACCTCCCAGCGGATGTCAGGGGGTGCAATATCGGCTAAACCAGGGGTCCCCAAAGTAAGGCACATGGGACAGATGCGGCCCTCCAAAGGCATTTACCCAGCCCCTGCCCTAAACTTTAGACTTAGGTTTGGCCTAAGTCTGAAATGACTTGAAGGCACACAACAACAACCCTAATTAACTTGACGATTTCATCATTCAAAAGTAGGCCCACACTTCCCATTGAAAGATGGGTAAGTTATGTTGGTGAAAATTGTTCTTAATTTTAAATATTGTTTTGTCTTTCATTGTTTTGTTTTGTTTTGGTTTGTTTGTTTGTTTGTTTTTGCATTGCAGATAAGATATGTGCAGTGTGTATAGGAATCAGTTCATTTTTCCCCAAACTATAGTTCGGCCCCCCAACAGTCTGAAGAACCATGAACAATATAATTTCTCCAGTGGTGTTGTGTGTAGGCATCCTGTGATAATGTGGCATGTCTCATTAAGAGCCACATCCACTGTTTTAACGTGGTGAGATGTGTTCCACGTTGGGCATGCATACTCAGCAGCAGAGTAGCAAAGCGCAAGGGCAGATGCCTTCACTGTGTCTGGTTGTGATCCCCAGGTTGTGTCTGTCAGCTTTTGTATGATATTACTTCTCATGCTCACTTTTTGCTTGCTTCTTGCAAGTCAGAACATGGTCTAGAGTGACTCCTAGGTATTTGGGTGTGCTGCAATGCTCCAGTGGGATTCCTTCCCAGATCATCCTCAAAGCTTGAGATGCTTGTCTGTTCTTAAGACGGAAAGCACACATCGGTGTTTTAGATGGATTAGGAATCAGCTAGTTTTCCCTATAATAGGCAGCAAGTGCATATAAAGCTTCGGAGAGCTTCTGTTCAACCATTTCAAAGCTTGCTTCTTGAGCGGTGATGGCATGATCGTCGGCATAGATGAAACTCTCTGTCCCTTCTGGCAGTGGCTAATCATTTGTGTAAATGTTAAACATTGATGTAATAATAATAATAATAATAATAATAATAATAATAATAAACACCCCACCATACGAAAAAAATAGTAAAACAGTTAGTTAATTCTATTTAACTAATAGAGGGCTGAGAAGGGCAGTATACAAATATACAGCCCGAGGGCTGAGAAGGGTGGTATACAAATATAGTAAATAAATACATATGTGTATGCTTTCTAGTTTTGAAACTGTATGTTGCATTGTTTTTTTATTATTAGCTGCTCTGGGTCTGTTTTTAAGAGAGATAAAGCAGGATACAAATAATGAGTATGATAATAATGGTAGTATTAATAATTATAATAATATTAGTATTCATAATGATGATGATAATAATAGCAGTAGTAGTAGTAATAATAATAATAATAATAATAATAATAATAATAATAATAATAAGCAGCCCCTTATATGAAAGGTTAGTAAATAAAGAAGCAAACAAACTTTAGCTCATCATTTCCATCATCATATTTGATAATGGTTTGAACTATAACAATATTGACGCCTGGCCTCCTGACCACATAACAATGAATGCTAATAAAATCAGTGTATTCTCCGCCAATTGGCTGCCGTTTCAGAGCACTTATCCAAAGCGCACAATAAAATGCAATTAGCGCTCGAGGGGAGCTTACATAATTTAATAAGAAAACCCGCACCCTGATTACATTAACTTCCCGTTTAAGCCAGATTTGTGGTTTAAGAGGGAGGAGGAAAGGGGACAACAGCAGACCTGCTAAAAGCCCCATCGGTGGGCTGTGCTTCCAAAGGCCTTTCTCTCTCTGTTTGGTGAATTGACGCTTATGACAAGCGAATGCAACGCAAGGCGAGGGACGTGGCCCATGTTTAATGGATGAAGGAGAAGAAGAGGAGGAGGAGGAAGGCTCCCATCTGTCGGAGCCAAAGATGGGAGCCTGGGGACCCAGTGATGGATCTTCCCTGACACGTTGTCCGAGGTTCTTTCCCTTAAAGAGACAGGCATTTATTATCTTTGATGGAGGGTGTGTGTATGCGGTCTTTAATATGGAGCCAGCAGGCTTTTGGCGAGGAAGGAACCCCCCAAAAAAGAGCCAAGCAGTTTTGGTATCGGTCATGAATTAGTCAAGAGCTTGCCCTGGGAGGGTGTTCCTTTGTCTGTTCGAGTCCATTGTACTGTATAATATTAAAAATAATAGGGATTCAACCCTTTATGTCCTCCCTTGCTTTGTGAGATCTCTGCGCTGCTTGCAATAAATAGTTTAAAGTTTTACTATATCACCTGGAAGGAAACCCTACTAAAGTAGCCTTGTTGCGTATATGAACCACTGGATTTCAAAGGGCCTTCCACAGTTCAGGCTAACAATAGGATTGAGGCTCAGGGGGAAAAGGAAGGGGCCTGAGGCTGTTAAGGATTGTGGGAGTTGAAGTCCAAAACACTTGGAGGGCCCAAGTTTGTCCATGGCTTTCTATCCAATCTCATCCTTTCTTCTCTTCCTTTCTCTCTCCAGCGATGTCTGATTTCCACATTCACCCCCAGAGTGCCGTGGTGGAGGAAGGTGGTGTTGCCAGATTCCAGTGCCAAATCCACGGCTTGCCGGAACCGGTGATCACGTGGCAAAAGAACCACCTGCCCATAAATACAGATCATGACAGGTAAGGAAGGCATCTCTGAGGCATTAGGAAGGTTTGCTTCTCTTTGTGTGCAATTTTTGATCTCTATATCCCTAGGGAAGACTATGCTCAGCAGTGCCATAAGGCTGATCATTGAGGCTCCCCATTGCTCAGAATGGATGCAAAGACTCATCCCAGATTATTAAAGTATTTTTATTCTTTTGGGATGACAAAACAACTTGTAGAGTGTCCTGACAGCTGGAAGAGGTCTCAGAAGTTTGTTGGGTTCCACAAAACGGGACTCCATAGAATCATAGAGTTGGAAGAGACCTCATGGGCCATCCAGTCCAACCCCCTGCCAAGAAGCAGGAAAATTGCATTCAAAGCAGCCCTGACAGATGGCCATTCAGTCTCCGTTTAAAAGCTTCCAAAGAATGAGCCTCCATCACATTCTGGGGCAGAGAGTTCCACTGTTGAATGGCTCTCACAGTCAGGAAGTTCTTCCTAATGTTCAGATCATGAAATCTCCTTTCTTGTAGTTTGAAGCCATTGTTCCATTGCGTCCTAGTCTCCAGGGCAGCAGAAAACAAGGTCACTCCCTCCTCCCTATGACTTCCTCTCACGTATTTATACATGGCTATCATGGCTCCTCTCAGCCTTCTCTTCTTCAGGCTAAACATGCCCAGCTCTTTAAGCCGCCCCTCATAGGGCTTGTTCTCCAGACCCTTGATCATTTTAGTCACCCTCCTCTGGACACATTCCAGCTTGTCAATATCTCCCTTCAATTGTGGTGCCCAGAATTGGACACAATATTCCAAGTGTGGTCTAACCAAGGCAGATTAGAGGGGGAGCATGACTTCCCTGGATCTAGACACCATAGGTTACATGTAGCCCTTTCTATACCCTTGCTTTCATTCTCCTGAGCCCATACATTTACAAAGAATCAACCTAGACACAGAATATTATTTGAGAACACAGAAATGTTGGACCGCTCAGAGAACCATCTTGTCATGCTATACAGATAAGCTAGTGAAATTCACAAAAATGTGGACAACAGAAAGGAAGAAACTATGAAAAGAAACAAAATCAAGACATCCGACTCAAGGCAGTAAATAAAGAACACCACTCAGAAATGGGAATTTCAGACAGCAAACAATCAAGTGCCTGTTAACACCTCCAAAACAGGGGATGCCTCCAGGCAACAACAGCCAGGCTACTTCTATGCAGATACCCTCACTGGTTGACTTTGCAGCTACAGGCCTACTCAGTGCTAATCAAGCTTGCTAATTGCAATATTCACACTTGCTTCAAACAGATGAGTATCTTTCTCCCATCCTGGACATCATTCCACAGGTATATATATACTCAACTTGCTTCATTTCCAACAGACCTCTGAACAAAACTCTGAGGATGCTTGTCACAGATGCAGGTGAAACGTCAGGAGAGAATGCTACTGGAACATGGCCATACAGCCTGAAAAACTCACAACAACCCAATGTAATAGAAGCTTGTCTTTGCCTGGGGTCATTCTCTTGCTGGTGGGTCCATTACTTACATTTATTGAAGCCATTCTGGGATTTGTTAATGCTATCCATGGTGCTGAATCCTGTGCCCAAAATTCAGCACCATGGAGAGCTCCGGAAGCCATTTCTTACCTTGGATTAACCAGCTGAAGCAACAGAGTCCTGGATGGGATGAACTTCCTAAGTCTAAAGATCATGAAAAACTGCCTCTACTAACCCACAAACATATACCCCATTACGAGTGGTGGAAAACATATTAGAAAATAGTCAGAAAATGGCTTCAAAGGCCCGTGTTTGTCAAGTATTAGGAAGCTCTGCCATGACATCATTCTGCACAAAATTTGCATGTGAGTTTTATTTGTTTGTTTGCAGAAAAAAAGCCTATTTAGAGCAGGAGATTACCTTTTCTGTACAGGAAATATTATTCACCTCAAATTGCAAATCGAGTTCCAAAACTGTGCAGTTTTCAATTAGTTTTAAGTTGTGAATGTTGATCTGCATTTCATTAGTGATTTCAACTTGCATTTCAACTCTGTTTATCTTGCAACATGTCTTCGAATAGTGTTTCAGCTCTTCATGATATTATATCCTGCCTCGAGCCAAAGGGAAATGCGGTAATCAATTTATTATTATATTATATAGGAGACCCTGGTGATGCAATGGGTTAAACCCTTGTGCAGGAAGTACAGAAGACCGACAGGTCACAGGTTTAAATGGGGAGAGAGTACGGATAAGCTCCTGTCAGTTCCAGCTCCCCATGCAGGGACTCCCACAGGGATGAGGGAGCAAGCTTGTTTTCTGCTTCCCTAGAGACTAGGACATGGATCAATGGCTTCAAACTACAAGAAAGGAGATTCCATCTGAACATTAGGAAGAACTTCTGACTGTGAGAGCTGTTCAGCAGTGGAACTCTCTGCTCCGGAGTGTGGTGGAGGCTCCTTCTTTGGAGGCTTTTATACAGAGGCTAGATGGCCATCTGTCAGGGGTGCTTTGAATGCAATATTCCTGCTTCTTGGCAGGGGGTTGGACTGGATGGCCCATGAGGTCCCTTCCAACTCTATGATTCTATGACATGAGAGAAGCCTCCCACAAGGATGATAGAAAACATCAAAACATCCAGACATCGCCTGGGCAACATCCTTGCAGATAGCCAATTCTCTCACATCAGAAGTGACTTGCAGTTTCTCAAGTTGCTCCTGACATGAATATTATTTATTTATTTATTTATTTATTTCGTGTACTTCTACCCCGCCCTTCTCAACCCCCGAGGGGGGACTCAGGGCGGCTTACAAACAGGCACAATTCGATGCCTACACCATAATACAAAACGTATAAAAACAGCAGTTAAACAGTTATAACAATTAAAACAATCAATATATATCACAATTAATAACCAATCTCATGCTCAGCGTTCGCCAACTCATGGTCCATACTTCATTCCACATAGTCTATTCCTATCAGTCGTCGTAGTCCTTTATTTATCTGCCAGATTGCCCAAACGCCTGGTCCCAAATCCATGTTTTTAATTTCCTTATAAAGGAAAGGAGGGATGTTGCTGATCTAATTTCCCCGGGGAGTGAATTCCATAGGTGAATTCCATGTGTGTGTGTGCGTGTGTAAAGGTAAAAGTTTTCCCCTGATATTAAGTCCAGTTGTGTCTGACTCTGGGATGTGGTGCTCATCTCCATTTCTAAGCCAAAGAGTCAGCGTTATCCATAGACACCTCCAAGGTCATGTAGCTGGCATGACTGCATGGAGCGCCGTTACCTTCCCACCAGAGCGATACCTATTGATCTACTCACATTTGCATGTTTTCGAACTGCTAGGTTGGCAGAAGCTGGGGCTGACAGCGGAAGCTCACGCTGCTCCCCTAACCTGTGACCTTTCTGTCAACAAGCTCAGGAGCTCAGTGATTTAACCCACTGCGCCATGGGAGGCTCTCTTTCTCTCTCTCTTTCTATATATATATATATATACACACACACACACACACACACACACACACACATACACATACATACACACATACTGTGTACATATAAAATATTCAAATATGCTTTTTGCAGTGATTATTTCCCCATGAACATCACTTACTGCTTCTTTTGTGAAGAGCCTCATTGCTGGCACACACGGCCATCCCATAACCAAAGGTCCATTGTGTTCTTTCAGGTACACGCTGCTGCCAAAGGGAGTCTTGCAGATAACCGGACTCCGAGCGGAGGATGCTGGAATCTTCCATTGCATGGCTACCAACACAGCTGGGGTGAAGTTGAGCAGGGGAGCCCGGCTGAGTGTATCAGGTTGGTGCAAGGAGTTTTTGCATGTCTTGTGAGATTTCAAGTCATGTCATTGTTCTTTCCATTTTTTAAAAACTATGTGTCCCTGGGCCATTTGTTTTGCACACTTTGTAGCAAAACCCACACTGATCTAGGCTTACAATTGCTGTAGCCCAGCCACCTGCTTGATCCCTTGTCCACCCAAACACCACAAAGGTCTATTATTATTATTATTATTATTATTATTATTATTATGAAAACATGGAGCATCTGGGGATGAAGTTATGCCCATTGTGTCATCTCATTTTCATCCAGTCTTTGACAACAAGCTCTTCTTTCTGCTTAGGTTCCCATTCCGCTGTGTATAAGGACCCGATGATTCTCGTGGGGCCGGAGAACCTGACCTTAACGGTGCACCAGACCGCAGTCCTGGAATGCATCGCAACCGGAAACCCAAGGCCCATCGTCTCCTGGAGCCGACTTGGTAAGTTACCAAAGTTTGGCTTAAGCATGTCTAGTTCTGTTTGGGCAACATCTCACTCATAATCCTACAGGCCAGGGATTTGCATGCCTCAAACTCACAGTGATTTATATGTCTGGAAAGAAGAATTAGTTTTAGTTTTGCATCTTAAGTTAAATTACGTATGAGCAAACTTGGGCCCTCCAGGTGTTTTGAACTTCAACTCCCACAATTCCTAACAGCCGGTAGGAATTGCATCCTACCATTCAAGCTGTTAGAACAAATGCCATCAAAGCCAAAATTGAAAAGTCATTGACAGATCCCAAGTGTGGACTGCAAGAAAGCAGATGAAACAACAGATCATATTCTCAGTTGCTGCACGAAAATCACGCAGACAGACTACAAGCAGAGTCATAATACCATTGCTCAGATGATTCATTGGAACTTGTGCCACAAATACCATCTGTCTGCAACAAAGAACTGGTGGGAACACAAGCTGGAAAAAGTTACTGAAAACAAACACATCAAACTCCTTTGAGACTTCCGAATTCAGACTGACAGAGTTTTGGAGCACAATATTCCTGACCTGACGATCGTGTTAAAAAACCAAGTATGGATTGTCGATGTTGCAATCCCAGGTGACAGCAGAATTGAAGAGAAACAACTGGAAAAGCTGACACGATATGAGAATTTAAAGATCGAACTGCAAAGACTCCGGCACAAGCCAGTCAAAGTGGTCCCAGTGTTGATCAGCACACTGGGTGCAGTGCCTCAAGACCTTGGCCTGCACTTAAACACAATTGGTGCTGAGAAAATTACCATCTGTAACCTGCAAAAGGCCACCTTAGTGGGATCTGCACACATTATTTGCCGATACATCACTTAGTCCTAGACACTTGGGAAGTGTCCGATGTGTGATCCAGTACAACAGCCAGCATAGTGATCGTGTTTGCTATGTACTAATCTTGTCGTGTTTCAAATAATAATAATAATAATAATAATAATAATAATTCTAAATTGAAGCCACTACTGCTATGTTGTGGGTTTCATATGTTGTAAGTCTAGCACCTAAATGCCTTTGCTTCAAAGCAATGTTTTTAAAAACCTGCTTTAAAGTCATAATGAGCTTGAATATTATTATTTTTTTGCTCCAGATATTTGCATAAGGTGCAAAGGCAAAGCAAACGAGTCTCTTCTTATTGCTCATTAAATGGTGGACAAGCTCTGTTTTACTGTTCTTTTTACGGCCTGCTTTGCAAGCCAGCCGGCATTTAACAAGAGGCAGCCAATTCTCCGACACTCTCTTTTTCCATCTCATCAAGTTAAATAATTGTGGTCTTGCTTTCTACCCAAGATATTAAAATGTGTAGATGAAGACGTTATCCACTAAAATCTTCTGCAATCAGACTTGTTATGTTTATAGTTCAGGCATGGACCAACTTGGGCCCTCCAGCATTTCAGACTTCAACTCCCACAACTCCTAACAGCCGGTAGGCTGTTAGGGATTGTGGGAGTTGAAGTCTGAAATGCTGGAGGGCCCAAGTTTGCCCATGCCTGTTAGAGCTGCAGCACAAAACTTTGCCACTATTAAAGAGATCCATGATTCCCTATCCTCTATTAGATGTTTTACATAGTATGTATCAGTATCTCTTATAAGGGGTTGGTTGACTGTGTCACGCAATGACGCATGCTGAAAAAGCCAGTCACCAACATGAAATATTCGGAAAGTGTTGCCTTACCATAATTCAGACTCAGCAGGAAAACCCTATGGTAAGTTCATCATACACGGAAGTTGACTTTCAGTTTATGATGACCTTACCATAAAGTTTTCTTGATGAGACCTATTTGGACCCAAGGAGAAGAATACTTTGCTCAAGAGATACTCAACACGGAGCTTTCCTTCCATAAAATGTAAGAGTTTGCAAATTCATTTTCTCTCTTTTTCTCCCCACAATTTAGACGGGCGGCCAATCGGTGTGGAAGGCATCCAGGTTCTTGGGACAGGCAACTTGATGATTTCAGACCTGACGGTCCAGCATTCTGGGATATATGTGTGCGCAGCCAACAAGCCTGGCACAAGAGTGCGGAGGACAGCCCAAGGGAGGCTGGTGGTGCAAGGTAAGGCGGATAGGATTAGGATCCCCCCAGGAAGAAATAGCGCTGAACCAACCCATTGCTGTTTCCTGTCTTGTTTGGACATCATGTCTTCCAAAGCCTGTCCTTGTATTTCTTGCATATCATTAACTCAACAGGTGGGCAATGGGTATAATATGACCATATTGACTCAAGTCTAACGGGTCACTGAATCTAATGCGCACCTCCATTTTCAAAATCCTGAAACCCAAAAAAGTATTTTCTACTGGTTGCAATGCGCAGCAACCAAAAGTGCCTTCTGTCATTTGGCCAAAAAAGGTGTGCATTACAGTTGCTGCCTGTGTAAAAGCAAAAGTGTTAGAGCAACAAAGCTTCCAGTAATGGAAAAAAAAACATTGGGGTGCATCTACGTATGCACCCCAAGGTGCATTAGAATGCCTTGGTTCAATGTTATGGAGTCATGGGGGAATGTAGTTTGACAAGGTCTTGAGTCTTCTCTGCCAAAGAGTCTGGAAGTCTCACCAAACTACAAATCCCAGCATCCCATAGCTATGAAATTAGATATGAGATCTTACAAAGAGGAGCTTTGGCTAAATGCTAAGATGACCTTATGAGGCGAATGTAATGTGCACCCTAATTTCAGCAAGGTCCATTATTATTATTATTATTATTATTATTATTATTATTATTATTATTCTACTACTTACTTATTTAGTATATTTGTATACCACCCCTCTCAGCCTTCCAGCGACTCGAGGTGGTTTACAAGGCAAAAATTCAATGCCACCAAAAACATAGATACAATATACAGTATAAAACATCAACAACAATAAAATCATAACATTATAACAAAACATACTTCAATCGATACTCATGAAAACAATGTCCAGTCCTTTCATGTAGTTGTTCCGTTATTATGTCTGTTACTCAGTATTCGCAGATGCCTGCTCAAATAGCCATGCCTTAAGACTCTTCTGAAATGATAGGAGCGAAGAGGCCAATCTGATCTCCCTAGGAAGGGCGTTCCATAGCCGAGGGGCCACCACTGAGAAGGCCCTGTCTCTCGCCCCTGCCAGCCGTACTTGTGATGATGGCGGGACCGAGAGCAGGGCCTCTCCAGATGATCTTAAGGTCCTCACAGGTTCGTAAGGGGAGATTCATTCAGACAGGTAAGTTGGACCAGAACCGTTTATCCAAAAAAGCTAAACATTCAATTTGAGTAAATAGTAGGCATGTGCAATCGATGAAAAAAAATGTTTTGAAAGTCATTACAAAATTAAGGGGGCCTGGTGTTTCATTTCTAAAGTGATAGTATAGTTAGTAAAACATTTGTTACTATAACGAGAGTAATGGAATTTTGTTACTTTTTCATTATAGTAATTGTGCCTGTGTCGGATATCTGATTGTATGTACGAATTTAACTAATTTGATACAACTCATGGACTAAAAAAAAATCACACACTCCTAGTAAATAAAATGTGGCTCTAGTTTTGGAGTCATTTTTATTGAGGAATCCAATATTCTGGTGACCCACTCCGAATATTTTTAAGAATCGCCAATCCATCTTCCCTTTGCCTCTATCACCTTGAAGGTGAGAACAGGACTTTCCAAATGAATGCACCCAACAGGGCCAGTTTCAATGTGCCGCTTTCCTTGCATGGAAAGTTCTAGTTTTGTTTTGTACTTAAGGAAGAAAGTTGGAAATTGAGGAAAAGGGGCTCAGCCGAATGCCCTCCAGACCCAGGTGCCGAGGAAAACTCTTTGAAAGTTGAAAGATGCCCCCGAAAAACTGGTCTTTATGACCTCATTGGTGAGTGCTGCCCAGAAAGGAGCCTCTTGGACATTTCTTTGCAGGGATCCAGTCTCCATGGTGAAGTTTTTGCAAAGAGAATGCCTTTTGCAGAAGGAAAAGGAAGGGGGGTGGTGGGAGGGGTAAAGCCTCCCCAGCTGGCAGCAAGGGACTGAATGTGCTAATCCTTTCCTGATTGCGACCCCTCCTTCCCTCTTTGAAGTAGTCCCTTTCCAGCAGCTCTGTGTTCTCATTAAAGGGGCGCTTGATGATCCCCTGAATCTGAAATGATATTGCTCTGGCCTAATTGGACATTTTCACAGGGTTGTTCGCAATGCAAGACATTTCCTTCTGCCGCATGCCATTGACTTTGGAAATCTAAGGGAGACCTCTCTTGTGTTTCTGCACCAAAGTGTCCCCATGTAATTGAAATGGTCTAAATTCATCCCCGTTGAATGTGTCCCAAGATGCATCTACATTGCAGAAGGCTTCCCTCTCATCATGGTGAGAGGCCTTTCATTTATACAGGAAATACGGCCTTTTTGGCTTTGCTTTGCTTCCTTGCACTGAATGTGAAACTGATTTTGTGATGTACAGGAGTTGATTATAAATTGTATGATTTTAACTGTATTTGTGTTTAGATTGGCTGCAGTAATGCTGGAGCGGCCTAAGTCAGAGGAGTCCTCCATGTGCATTTCCATGGAGACCGATGCAGGAGAGAGGGAAGTGGGAGGAGCTTAGAGGGGAGAGTTTGAAAAAACGACAGTTAAAAATCAGTTAGGGTTTAGGTTTAGAGGAGTGAGCAGTCAGGAGTTAGGTTCAGAGGAGTGAGGAGTTAGGAGTTGGGAGAGAAGGAAAGGAAAGGTGGCAGAGTGACTTGTGAAGCAAAGCTTTGAGGCTTTGAAAAGCTGGGTTTGGCTATTGGAAGTTTCTCAGGCTAGTGCAGCCGAATGGTGAAACATAGCTGGTATTCTTTTAGTCTAAGGAGAGGCTAAAGAATAGTTTACTTAGTATTTGATCTAGGGAGGATCAAATAAGGGAAACATCCCTGTATTGAAACTTTGTCTGAAACAAGTGCTCTACGTCAGAAAGATACTGTGTTACTTGAAAGAATGAACTGTTAAAGTTACAAGTTTTATTCCAAGTGCAACAAGGAAAGGTTACGTCTTGCAACCACACGCTGTGTACTTAATAAAATTGTTAACTTTTATTTGAAGATTGCCTCAGCTCCGTCTATTCTGTGTCCAAAGTGCCATTTCTCACAATATTACAACTTACCTCACGTGGTGGCAGAAACGCAGGGAAAAGTAACAAAATAAATCTACATTCTTCTCTCCAGTCACGCTACAGTATATACAGTGTAATTACTACTAAGTTATTACTTTCTTAATAAAGGAGGAGGTGCAATTGAACAGCCTCCCTTCCAACTTGATGGTAAATTTGGTTCCTAATCGGCAACCTCCATTGCAAATCGGCCAGTTCTTTTTAAAATTGGGAACTGGGGTAAAATCTCCTGAATACTGGTTCCTTTCAAATTGGTGGCAACAATAAATCATCCCTCCGCTCCCCTGCTTCTTTTCAGGAAGCTTCCGAGGTTTATTTATTTATTATTATTTATTTATTTACTGTATTTGTATACCGCCTTTCTCAGCCAATTGGCAACTCAAGGCGGTTTCCAACAAATCAGTACATATAAAAACATAATACAGATTAAAACATTAAACAAGATAAAACACCACAAAAACAATAAAAACAACATCATTAGCGTCTCATTATTATCAAGCATTGTCCAGTTCCATTGTCAAATTGTTCAATTTCCTATATTAGCTACTCTGCATTTGTAAACGCTTGCTCGAACAGCCATGTTTTAACGTTAAGGGGTAGGGAAGAGATCTAATCTCCCTAAGGAGGGTGTTCCATAGCCGAGGGGCCACCACTGAGAAGGCCCTGTCTCTCGTCCCTGCCAAACATACTTGAGACGAAGGCAGGACCAAGAGCAGGGCCTCCCCAGAGGATCTTAGAGTCCTCGATGGTTCGTAAGGGGAGACAGGTTAACACAATTCAATGAAAAAGTATCGGGTAAGTTAGGATTCTTAAGCTTTTGGCACATGCCATGCCCACGTGTCAGATATTGTGTCATAAGTACGAATTTGATCCGACTTACGATGATGAATGCAAATTTTGCACTGCCCTAATATCTATAGTATCAACTTTCTTGAAGTTATACAATTCTCAATTTCAATTCAAATGTATTATTAAATAGTGGTGACATGAATGTAAATATGCTGTTCACACCAATCCTATTTAATGCTTTGCAGTGATGATTGTCCATATTTTTTCTTATCCATGTGGTACCCTGTGCACAAATGCTCCAGGATATGGTGGACTTGCTGTAGTCTAATAAATACATAAACATTTCCATTGTAGCCTATGAATTATATACAATTAAGAGTAGATGTCATGAGCGCCAACACAAATGTCAGAGGCTGGCATGTTGGGAAATGCCACATCACCAATTCAAACAAAGTGGGTAGTACTGAGCAGGGATGCATCTATACTGCAGAATTAATGTAGTTTGATACCACCTTCACTGCCATGGCTGAATGCTATAGACTTCTGGGACTTTTACAAAGGCTTCTGTAAGGAAGGAGGTAGAGCTGAGAAACTCAATTGTTTAGACCAGTGGTTCTCAACCTGGGGTCCCCTGATGTTTTTGGCCTACAACTTCCAGAAATCCCAGCCAGTATACCAGCTGTTAGGGTTTCTGGGAGTTGAAGGCCAAAAACATCTGGGGACCCCAGGTTGAGAACCACTGGTTTAGACCATTTGGTGTCTCTGAGCTTTGCACAGGTCACTTGGGATGCATCTACACTCCTGAATTAATTCAGTTTGGCACCACTTTTAACTGCCCTAGCCTGATGCTATGGAACTGTGTGAGTTATGGAATATCATCCTAATTGGACCCGCTGAACATTTAGCTTTATTGAATCAATTGGACCTAGCTCTGGGTCGATCCATACTTTGCAATTGATTCAGTCAGTACTTGAGACTAACCCAAAGGATGGCGAGCGTAATGTTTTAATGCATGTTTTTATTGCTGCGGTTAAAACAGCTGTTTTAAATCAATCCATAATTTTATATTTATAACGTACTGTATTTTATTGGACGTTTTAATATGCTGTAAATGGGCTCATGTGCCAAACTTGGAGGAAAAGCAGAATGCAAATGAAGCAAATACCCTCCCCTGGCAGGGAAGGCAAAAGGCCTTCCTGCTCAAAGCACCGATATTCATAAAGAAGAGTGCGTTTTGAATTATTGTTCTTTCTGCAGCTCCGGCTGAATTTGTCCAGCACCCGCAGTCCATTTCCCGGCCGGTGGGGACCACGGCCATCTTCACCTGCCTGGCTCAAGGGGAGCCGCCCCCACAGATCACCTGGCTGAAGAATGGGCAGATCCTGGAAACCACGGAGCACATCAAGCTCAAGAACAACAACAGGTGAGCCCTCCTCTTCCACAGTCAAGTCAAGCATCGACATCCATCTTTGCTGATTTTATTTTCATTTCTCTTCTTTATGTGTTTTATTTTTATCTAGCATATATACTTGCTATTGTCCAGATGTCATAGGGCCCTCTGCCCTCCCGCTTTAATCCCTTCTTTCTCATTCTTTTTTTCTTTCCCTCCCCTCCTACCTCTTTCTTTCCCTCCTTTTTCTTTCTCTGCCCTCCCTCCCTTATTTCCTTCTTTTCTGTTCTTTTTCTATCTTCCCTCCCTTCTTTTGTTCTGTCTTGCTTCCATTCTTTTCTGTTCCTCTTTCTTTCTTTCTTTCTTTCTTTCTTTCTTTCTTTCTTTCTTTCTTTCTTTCTTTCCCTATTCTACTTTTCTTTTCTCTTGCCTTCTTTTTCTTTTTCCCCCACCCCTCCATACCTTTTCTTCTTTTATTTCTCTTCTTTCCTTCCCTCCTTTTTCTCTCTCCCCCTTTTTTCCTTCTTTTCTCTGCTTCTTTCTCTTTCCTTCTTTCCTCCCCTCTGCCCTTTATTTCTTTTCTTTTCCCTTCCCTTCTTTCTCTTTCTTTCTTTCCTTCTCTCCTCCTCCCTCTTCCTTTCTCTTCTCCTCCTTCCTTCTTCTCTTCCTTTCTTTCTCTTCCTTTCTTTCTTTCTTTCTTTCTTTCTTTCTTTCTTTCTTTCTTTTCTTTTCCTTCTTTCTCCTTCTTTTGTTCTCACCTTTTTCTTTCTCCCCCCTCCCTTTCTTGCTTCTTGCTTTCTGTTCACTTTTTTCTTTCTTCCCTCCTGTTCTTCCACCCGCATTTCTTCTTTTCCTTTCTATTCCCTTATTTTTCTTTCTTCCGTTCTCTCCCTTCAGACCTTTCCCTTTTTTCTTTCTCTTTTTTCCTTGCCTCCTTTTTGTTTCTTCCCCCTCTTTCTTCCTTCTTTTCTCTTTTCACTTTTCTTTCTTTCTTTCTTTCTTTCTTTCTTTCTTTTTCTTTTTCTTCCTCCGCCCCAACATCCCTTCTTCCTTCTTTCTCTCCTTCCCTCCTTCTTGCCCTCTTTCTCTCCCTCCTTCTCTCCTTCCTTCCTTCTCTATCCTTCTTTCTGTCCTTCTTTCTCTCCCTCCATCCTTCCCTCTCCATTATACATATGTCACCTTTCTTTCAGTGACATCATGCAGGGCCACTTCACCTAGCTAAAGCCAATACAGGGACATCCCACAGGGCCACTTCACCCAGCAACACATTTTCTACACATTGAAATCATATTTCAGATATTGCAAATATATAAACCACACACAAATTCCAATACATTTCACACAAAAACATTTGCTTATTTCTTTATAGCAAGTAAAGACAATCTATTTCTCTGGATTGCTGTCAATGCACAACTGATGTTGTTTTACAGCATCTTGAGCCTTTTCAGCAAAATAGAGGGAATGCGTCACCAAACTAGAACTCCCAGGGTTCTCTGCCATTCAGCCATGCCAGTTAAAATGGTGTCAAACTGCAATAATTCCATAGTGTAGATGTGCCTTTATTGGAGCTGGGATGGAATAATGGCAAGAAACAGAGTTTTCCCTATTGGTGTTCGTGTTCCCTTTTCTCTGAATCTTTTCTTTCCCTCCTTCCCTTCGTCTTCAAATCCCTTTTGTTTTATTCCTTTGCGCACGACTAACCACCATAACCCACTTAGTTCCAGGCAGAATTGGTTTGCAACGTGGCCTTTGGACATATCTGCCAATTGCACCCGGAATACGAAAAAATCACCCAGTCTTTGTCCGTATAATGATGGGATCTCTTATCTTGTGGTAATGAGCCCGACTAACACACGAGCCTGAGACTCATAATTATATTACATGCTTCTCTCCTCCTTGAAAATTCCATTTGGATTAAAAGCCATCATATAGGAATAAAAAAGAATTAAAAGGATTTCCCTTTGTTGTTGTTGATGATGATTTGAAAATGACAGGGAGGTAAAACACTGATCCATTCCCAAGTGGTATTGTTTGCTAATTGATTGCGATTTTCTAATTGATTGTGGCATTGGAAATGAAAGCTAGGAATGAGTACTAAGGAAAAGCTTGGATGACAGACAACAGATACACACACACACACATACATGGCTTTTTGGTGGTGTCAAAAACCCACCTGCAAAATTACAACACTTTGGAAACCACTTTAATTTCCATGTGCCTGTGCTATGCAACCATGGGAGTTGTAGTTTCTCAAGGGTATTAGCCAGACTACAACTCCCAGGATGCCATAACACTGAACCATGGAAGTTAAAAATGGTGCCAAACTGTATTCATTCTACAGTTTAGATCAGGCATGTTTAAACTTTGACCCTCCAGGTGTTTTGGACTCCAACTCCCACAATTCCTAACAGCCTCAGGCCCTTTATTATTTTCCCCACAGCCACCTGAGGCTGCTAGGAATTGTGGGAGTTGGAGTCCAAAACACCTGGAGGGCCAAAGTTTGCCCATGCCTGGTCTACACTGACCATATCAAGCATGTGGCAGTGTAGGTGAGGCCTATGCCAAATGCTTTCAAGGCTGGTGTCCAAATATTCTGGCTAGTTATGGACTCTTTTGGGACAATGTTCTCCCAACGGATTGAGGTCCTCCTCAGCTGTCAAAATGGCATCATCATTAGGGAATGAATGCCATCATCCTTCATTCTTTTGGCCGTCCATTGTACTTTTTTTGGCGTCCTTCCATGTTGCTCCCTAACAGCACCTTGGAAAGTTTGGTGTTGGTCCTTGACCTCCAGTGAGATCCATCATCTTCATTGCCGGAGGATGACTGTAGTGACAGCTTGTGAGCGGATGGCTGAAACAACCCATTCTCTCCTTCTTTCTCTCGCTCTCTCTTTCCTCCCTCGCTCCACCTTTCTCTGCCCTCCTTTCTTGTAAAACATTTCACGCAGCCGCCTCGCAGGGCTCTGCAAAGACCTCCCTCTCCCTGGCCTTCATTCTTTGCCTGTCAGCCTCATTGTGCAAAGGTTTGATCAAGTTCACCAGGGCTTTCTCATGCATCTTTGGCAACGAGCGGAGAGAAAGGCTCCCGGATCAGATTGGCTGGATGCAAAAAACGGCCACAAGACTGGCTTTTTGCAGTCAAGTTTCCGGGAAGCAGATGGCTTGGATTGCAACTCCAAGGAAAATTATAGCCATTATACTAATGTATAGGTTGACACCATGTAATTATATATATGTGCATGCTCTGTACATAATGAGTACCTTAAAAACAAAATAACCAATGAACCAAATCACACCAAATTTGGCAACAAAATGTCACAGCACAAGGAGTGACCATCACTCAAAAATTTATGATTTTGTCATTTGGGAGTTGTACTTGCCGGGATTTATAGTTCACCTACAATCAAAGAGCATTCTGAACTCCATCAACGATGGAGTTGAACCAAACTTGGCACACAGAACTCCCATGACCAACAGAAAATCCTGGAAGAGTTTGGTGGGCATTGACCTTGAGTTTGGGAGTTGTAGTTCACCTACATCCAGAGAGCACTGTGGACTCAAACAATGATGGATCTGGACCAAACTTGGCACAAGCACTCAATATGCCCAAATATGTACACTGGTGGAGTTTGGGGAAAATAGACCTTGACATTTGGGAGTTGTAGTCACTGGGATTTACAGTTCACCTACAATCAAAGAACATTCTGAACCCCACGAATGACAGAATTGGGGCAAACTTCCCACACAGAACCCCCATGACCATCAGAAAATACTTAAGGCCATCCAATCCGACTCCCTTCATCACGGCAATAAAACGTAATCAAAGTCCTCCTGACAAAGAGCCATCCAGCCATAGATAGGTAGATAGATAGATAGATAGATAGATAGATAGATAGAGATATGATTCACACACAGAGATATAGTATAGATATATAGATATATAGTATAGATTTGAAAGGGACCCTTAAAAAAGGACAAAGATATGTTGCATGTTCCAGGGTGGGCAAACCAGACACTCCCCACATCAACACTGACAAAGACACAGCAAGAAATACTGTTTACCCACAAGCATAAAGAAATTGCATATATTAGAAACCAACATTTTCTTATTACTTTATTTTCCAGATCAACAGACTGGGCCACAGCAGGGGACAGCTAGTAATAATAATAAAAAATCACACAGTCCTAGACGCTAGGGAAGAATTAGACTTGTGATTTTGTGATACGAAATCCAGCATATAGATCTTGTTTGCTGTGACATACTGTGTTTTTGTGTCAGAATAATAATAATAATAATAATAATAATAATAATAATAATGTGTCAGCTTTTCCAGGATTGAAGAGAAACAACTGGAAAAGCTGACACAATATGAGGATTTAAAGATCGAACTGCAAAGACTCTGGCACAAGCCAGTTAAGGTGGTCCCAGTGGTGATTGGCACACTCGGTGCAGTGCCTAAAGATCTTGGCCTGCACTTAAACACAATTAGCACTGACAAAATTACCATCTGTCAGCTGCAAAAGACCACCCTACTCAGACCTGCATGCATTATTTGCCGATACATTATTGTCCGATGTGTTATCCAGTACAACAGCCAGCATCGTGATCTTGTTTGCGGTGTTCTCATCTTGTTGTGTTTATAATAATAATAACAACCTTGAGGTTACTAGAGCATTCACTACCATCTTCAGGTCTTCCAAATCCAGGAATGGGCACAGCTGGAGGAGCATTATTATTATTATTATTATTATTATTATTATTATTATTATTATTATTATTATTATTTCTTACCTGCTTCTCGTTGCGGCTCAAGGTGGATTACAACACAATTTTAAAAAACATGAAAATTGCAAACATTCAAAAAATATACACATTTCTATAAAAGATCCATATTAAAACTGCATTTCTATAAGATACATATTAAAATACACAAAACAGACATCAGACAAAGGATTCATAGTTAAAAACTGTCTGTGTAGGCCTGCCGAAAGAGATGTATCTTTAGATGGTTTCTAAATCCCAATAGCTGACTTAGCTGTTGAAGCTCTACTGGCAGGTCATTCCACAACTTTGAGGTGGCCGATGAAAAGGTCCTCTGGGTGACAGTTGCCAGTCAGGTTTTGGGTAGTTGGAGTAACCGCCTCTTAAGTGTCCAAAGGGGCAAATTGTACAGGAGAAGGCAATCCTGTAGGGACCCTGGACCCAAACCATGTAGGGCTTTGAAGGTAGAAACCCAACACTTTGTACTTTGCCCAGAAACTCATCGGCAGCCAGTAGAGTGATTTAGGAAAGATGTAATATGCTCACTCCTAAATGTTCATGTAACCAATCTGGCTGCCGTATTTTGAACCATCTGGAGTTTCTGAACTTGGTACAATGGTAGCCCAGTGTGGAGTGCATTCAGAAGTCCAACCTTCTGAAGTCCAACATTCAGAAGTCCAACCTTGAGGTAACCAGCACATTCACTACCATCTTCAGGTCTTCCAAATCTAGGAAGGGACACAGGGGTGGATCAGCTGAAGCTGGTAGTATGCCCTTCTAACTATTGTCATATTTCCTTGGGCTGTCTTCTGGAGAAACGGATCCAGGAGAATCCCAAGCTGCGAACAGTCTTTCAGGGAGAATGTAATCCAATCCAAAACTGGTTGACACACCTCCATCCCCAGATGAGGACCCTTGATGACAAGCACCTCTGTCTTGTCTGGAGTCAGTTTCAGTTTGTTTTTCCTCATCCAGTCCTCCAGGCATTCATTCAGAGGAGCCACACAATCCTTAGCTGAGGATGTTTATGGAGGCATAGAGGCCAAAACATCTGGGGACCTACAGATTGAGAACCCTTAATACAGTTCCTCATGTTGTGGTGACCCCTAACCATAACATTATTTTCGTTGCTACTTCAAAACTGTAATTTTGCTACTGTTATAAATTGTAATGTATATATCCAATATGCCAGATGTACAAATTTGAATACTGGTGGGGTTGGGGAGGGGATTGATCTTGTCATTTGGGAAGTTGTAATTGCTGGGATGTATAGTTCACCTACAATCAAAGAGCAGTCTGATCTCCCCCAACAATGGAATTGAACCAAACTTGGCATATAGAACTCCCATGTCCAACAGAAAATACTGGAAGGGTTTGGTGGGCATTGATCTTGAGTTTGGGAGTTATAGTTCACCTACATCCAGGGAACACTGTAGACGCAAACAAGGATGAATCTGGACCAAATTTGGCACGAATACTAATATGTCAAAATGTGAACAGTGGTGGAGTTTGGGGAAAATAGACTTAGACATTTGGGAGTTGTAGTTGCTGGGATTTATAGTTCACTTACAATCAAAGAGCATTCTGAACCCCACCAATGATAGAATTGGGCCAAACTTCCCACACAGAACTCCCATGACCAACAGAAAATACTATGTTTTCTGATGGCCTTTGGCAACCCCTCTGACACCCCCTTGCAACCCCCTCCCTGTTGGCTTGATCCCCAGGTTGAGAAACACTTGTGCACCTTTATTGGAGCTGGGATGGAATAATGGCAAGAAACAGAGTTTTCCCTATTGGAGGTCATGTTCCCTTTTCTCTGGATCTTCTCTTTCCCTCCTTCCCTTCTTCTCATTGTCTTCACATCCTTAGCATGTCATCATAGTTAGTTCCAGGCTGAATTGGTTTGCAATGTAGCCTTGGGACATATCTTTCCATGTTGAATGGCAGAGGATCAAGCCTTCCTTCTTCCCATTTCTCCGGTTCTGTGGCCTCTTCTTTCCTTCCATGGTTTTAGCTGCAAGGTATGGAGATAGCCTGGGTTGAAAAGTGCCAGGCTCCCCGAAAATGCAACCAATGGCTCAAGAGACCGTCCTTTGAGTACCCCTGATCTAACTCACCTCCCAAGAAGTAAGTTATCCTTTCTGGTCTCTGCAAAAGGAACGTATGATTCCCTCCAATTGGGGGATCTTAGAAAATTGGAAGCTTTTCGAGCCTTTCTCAAAACCGTCTTATAGAGAGGCGGATTTGATGACTCCCCCACTTTTCGTCCTCGGCATCTGTTTCTTTGCAGTTCTCTAAGTAACATTTATGTACCCAAGAGATTTCTTTTTTTGAGCAGGGGACAGCCAACGAATGGTCCCTTCCCCTTGACAGTCTTGGGAGTGCCGCTTTTCTCCTCCACGTCTGCCGTGCCTCCCCTCCCTTAGCTTTTGCACGGAGGCCGTTCCACACGCGCTCCAGATGGCACCTCGGCATAAATTAGATCCCGGCTGATTGCAAAAAGAGCTGGCATAATGTCTGCCATTTCCATCTTTCCCCCTTGGGCATTCTGCAGGAGGGGATTCGTGTTTGTCGCTGCGGAGCAAAGACTATCGTTTGTGGTTCTTGTTGTGCGCCTTCAAGTTGCTTCAGCAAGATTAGCTCATACGCAAAAGTGCACTGAATTGTAGTATTAGTAGTTACTCAATAGCTTCTGGAGTTGATTGTGCCTCTTACAGAATGTTGCCCTGACACTCTTTCACTGTGGAAGAAGAGAAAGAAAAATTTGATTCATCCAATCTTCCTGGTATTGATTTGCATTTTGAAGCAAAGCAGTATGAAAAGATAGCAGAAATTGTACTTAGCTCTTGGTACGCAATCGGTCATGATTTCTTCAAAGGAAATTTGCCTTTGCCTTCCTCTGAGGTGGAGAGAATAAGACCTATTGAATATTGCATTGATACCTAAATAAGTGGCATTGATCCAGGCTAGACATGCCCAGCTCTTTAAGCCGCTCCTCATAGGGCTTGTTTTCCAGACCCTTGATCATTTTAGTCACCCTCCTCTGGACACATTGCAGCTTGTCAACATCTCCCTTCATTGGTGGTGCCCAGAATTGAACACAATATTCCAGGTGTGGTCTAACCAATGCAGAATAGAGGGGAAGCATGACTTCCCTGTATCTAGACACTATACTCCTATTGATGCAGGCCAAAATCCCATTGGCTTTTTTGCTGCTGCATCACATTGTTGGTTCATGTTTAACTTGTTGTCCACGAGGACTCCAAGATCTTAATATCTTTGCAGAGAAATACTTTTTGCAGAGTAATACTTTTACAGAGAAATACCGCATGTGTCTTGTCTCCAAGTGCAAGATTCCAGCCAAGATGTCAAACATCCCTACCTTTCCTGCCTTCTGAAAGGGAACCTCCACGTTCCCTCTTAGGAATGTGCCCTTTCCCACTTGTAATTTTTCATTCCTGGTGACTTGATCTCTTTTAATGCGAGGCAGTCCTAAGCTGACGGATGATCAGAGCTGGTTAAGACTCTCACCAGCGCCTTCCCCTCCTCTTCATTTCCCCCCTGCCTTTTCTTTCTTAATGTAATCCACATGCTGGTTCCCAACTTGAAACCCCAGCTTTCATTCAAGCAGACAATCCTGCAACTTTCCCTTTGCCCAGCCCAATGTGAAATGCCCGCTAAGCGGTCTTAGCCTTTTCGATACACCCTTTGCAGACATACAAGGATTATCCTCGATGCCGGGGTGGGAGGGGAGGAACAGGGAACAGCCAGCAATTTCGAGGATTGTTGCTAGAAAGCTGCTAATCTTCGGCTGTTGCTTTCTCCGCAGCACGTTGACCATCTCCAGCATCAACCAGGCGGACGAGGCCATCTACCAATGCATTGCAGAAAACAGCGCCGGCTCCACTCAGGCCAGCGCCCGGCTGACGGTGCTGTGGGCGGATGGCTTGCCCGGTCCACCGCAGAAAGTGAAGGCCGCCACCGTCTCTGCCACTACCATCCAAGTGCTGTGGAGCGAGCCTTTGCAGAACACCAAGGAGATCATTGGATACGTGCTGCACATCAGGAGAGCAGCAGGTAGAGGTCAACAGGCCCCTTGGGTTGGGATTTCCCATGTTATCCTACAAAAAGGAGCAAAGCATAGCAAAGACTCATAGAGCTGGAAGAGATCCCCAAGGGTCATCCAAACCACCAACTTCTATCATGTCATTGGTGTGCGCTGCACATTGAGGGAACAGCCAATAGAAGTCAATGGGCACCATGGACTGGGATGCCACATATGGTCCTGCAAAGAGGAGCAAAGCATAGCATAGACTCATAGAGCTGAAAGAGATCATTGGTGTGTGCTGCGCATTGGGGGAATGGTAAGCAGAAGTCAATGGGCACCTTAGGCTGGAATGCTACATGAAGTTCAATAAAGAAGAGGAAACCATAGCATAGACTCATAGAGCTGTAAGAGATCCCCAAGGGTCATCCAGTCCACCCACTTCTATCACACACAAGCTCATTGGTGTGTGCTGCACATTGGGGGAACAGCCAATAGAAGTCAATGGGCACCATGGACTGGGATGTCACATATGGTCCTGCAAAGAGGAGCAAAACATAGCATAGACTCATAGAGCTGAAAAAGATCATTGGTGTGTGCTGTGCATTGGGGGAATGGTCAACAGAAGTCAATGGGCACCTTGGTCTGAAATGCTACATAAGGTTTGGTAAACTCATAGAGCTGGAAGGGATCCCCAAAGGTCATCCAATCCAACCCTTTTCTACCATGCAGATGACAATTGATATGTTTTTCACCTTGGGGGAATAGCCAATAGAAGTCAACAGACACCTTGGGCTGGGATGCCACATATGGTTCTGTAAAGAGGAGCAAAGCATAGTGTAGACTCATAGAGCTGAAAGAAGGGTCATTCAGTCCAACACCCTTCTACTATGCAGATGATCATTGACAATGTGCTGCACATTTGGAGAGCAGCAGATAGGAATGGCAATAGAGGCCAATGGGCAGCAATACCCTTTGGATTGAGATGTCATGTTTGGTTCCATGCAGAGAAGAAGAGTAAGCAATATCATTGAATTATAGTGTTGGAAGAGACCCTAAGAGTCATCCAGTCCAAACGCCTTTTGCTGGGTAGAGGATCATTGGTTATGTGTTGCACACTGGGAGAGCGACAAGTACAAATGGCAATAAAAGTCAATAGGCACCTAGGGTTGGGATCCCACATTGGTTCCGTAAAGAAGAGAGCTGGAAGAGACCCAAAAGGCCACCCAGTCCAAACCTCTTCTGCCAGAAAGGAAGCCACAATCCAAGATGTCCCAACATGTCCCCTTGCAACCTTTTTCCTTCTGGCTCAGTGCATTTTTGAGATAGTTACAAGGCTTTTCTTTTGTCAGATCCGGTAGAGATGGAATACCAAGAGGCTGTCAGCAAAAACACTTTCCAGCAGCTTGTGACAGACCTGGAGCCCTCCACCAGCTACAGCTTCTACATCAAGGCCTACACCTCTCGGGGAGCCAGTAAAGCCTCTGAAGTGGTGGTCGTGAGCACTTTGGGGGAAGGTAAGAACCACAGCTTTCTCGGTCAGCTTTTGAGGGATTGATGCCCTGTTTCCCTGAAAATATGACCTACCCTGAAGATAAGACCTGCCCCCCCCCAGAATAAGACCCACCCCCAAAATAAGACCTACTCCCAAAATAAGACTTTGCCCCCCCTCAAATAAGACCTACTCTCAAAATAGGACCTACTCCCAAAATAAGACCTACTCCCAAAATAAGACCTTGCCCCCCCCAATAAGAACTTCTCCCAAAATAGGACCTTTCCCCCTCAAATAATACTCCCAAAATAAGACCTACTTTCAAAATGAGACCTTCTCCCAAATAAGGCCCATCCCCAAAATAAGACCTACTCCCAAAATAAGACCTACTACCAAAATAGAACCTACTTCCAAAATAAGACATACCCCCAAATAAGACCCATCCCCAAAATAAGATCTACCCCCAAAATAAGATCTACTCTGAACATAAGACCTGCCCCCAAAATAAGATCTACCCCCAAAATAAGCCCTAGTGTGATTTTTCAAGATTTTTCCTACTTCAAAAATAAGCCCTGGTCACAGTTCACAAAAAAGCCTATTTGGAAAAAATAAGGCATCCCCCGAAAATAAACCTTAACACATCCTTTGCAGAAAAAATTAAGATAAGGACCTGTCTTATTTTGGGGGAAATTGGGTATATAGGCAGTGGTGTTGTCCAAAATAAAAAAAATGAAGCCTTAGGAGAGAGAGAGAGAGTCACCTTAAGAGTTCCCGTTAGTCAGGAGTGACTTGAAGGCACTTAACCAAATAGCAGCTCTTTCTACACCTCATAACGTTAGCAAAAAAGGCAAATAAATCCTTGAAGTGGATTGTGGAAGGGATCCACATTCTTAGGCCCCTCTTCCTCCGTATCCTGGGAGTGCGCCATCTGTCCTCCCACCCTTCCCTTTCTTTTTTTCCATTAAAGAGGCAGAAAGATTGACACGGCTTCAAACTCCATTAAAAAGCCTTGACCCAAAGCCTTGCCGTTCAAGCCGGTAGCGCTCAGCCTCATAAAGCTTGGAGGTTTTTGTGTGTTTTCTTTCCTTCGGCATGGAGCGGTCTGGGTGTAATATTCCCTCCTTGGCTGTGATCATTAAAGGTTGTGGGTCTTCTAAATGATAGCAGTGTTTGATGCCTTGCGCTATCCAACCCTACCCAAAGCGCCACTGTTTTGAAAGAATCGTTGTTCGGGCATTATATTAGTCCAGTCTGCCAATCACGTTAAGCATATCATTTATCTTCCCAAAAGTTGGACTCAAGGTGAGACAGTATGATCTGCAGGAAAAATGCCCATGATTTCACCTTCCCATCCAATCAAATATATCCTCTTTAGGAAGGTTCTTAGTCCTGCAGGAGATTTCATAGTTTGCTTCTTGCAGAAGTGACCATGACGTTGCCTTAGATCAAATTCCTGGATCATTTTGCATTTTGGAGGATTCCAGATAAGAAATGCTCACAAATGTACCTTACTTACTTACTTACTTACTTACTTACTTACTTATTTATTTAGGCGATCCCTCATTGGCCAAGTAGGATAGTCTTCCAGGATCAGTATTCTGTGGAGCCCTATTCATGATCTGCATCTTTTCCCGCAGTGAGGGCATTGGTTTCTAGGTGGAAGGCGTTCTCGGTTGGGGTTGGCTTGACGTGCCTTCCTCTTGGTACGTTTCTCTCATTTGTGCCTCTTCAAATTCTGCAGCACTTCTGGTCACAGCTGACTTCCAGCTGGAGCGCTCAAGGGCCAGGGCTTCCCAGTTCTCCGTGTCCATGCCAGAGTTTTAAAGATTGGCTTTGAGCCCATCTTTAAATCTTTTTTCCTGCCCACCAACATTCCGTTTTCCATTCTTGAGTTCAGAGTAGAGTAACTGCTTTGGGAGATGGTGCTCGGGCATCCGGACAACGTGGCGGTCCGGCAGAGTTGATGGCGGAAGACCATCACTTCAGTGCTGGTGGTCTTTGCTTCTTCCAGCACGCTGACATTTGTCTGCCTGTCTTCCCAAGAGATTTGCAGGATTTTCCGGAGGCAGCGCTGATGGAATCATTCTAGGAGTTGCATGTGACGTCTGCAGACAGTCCACATTTCGCAGTCATATAGCAGGGTTGCGAGGACAATGTACAGATAGTACATTTGTCCTCACAAATGTACCAATCGGACATGGTTTCCCATCCCTTGCATCAAAAATACTTCAATACTATTAAATACGTCAATACTCCTTCCTTGGAAACTTTTCAACAGAGGGTGGATGGACATCTGTCAGGGTTGTGCTTTTCCTGCATGGCAGGTGGCTGGACTAGATGGCCCATGTGGTCTCTTCCAAGTCTATTATTCCATGATTCTATGAAATTTTCTGTGAGTGTTCGGCATCCTCGTTCTGTCCCAATGTTTATTAATGGCTTGGATGAAGGTTTAGAGGGGATGCTGATCAAGTTTGCAGGTGGGACCAAAATAGGAGGGAGAGCTAATACTCCAGAGGACTGGATCAGGATTCAAAATGGCCTTAGCCGATTAGAGAGCTGATTGGCCAGAACTAACAAAATGAACTTCAACAAGGACAAACATAAGATACTCCACTTAGGCAGAAATAATGAAATGCAAAGATGCAGGTTGGGTGATGTCTGGTTCCAAAATAGTCCACGAGAGAGCCATCTTGGAGTCTTCCCAGAGAACAAGTTGAACAAACTACAAACTACAAGAAAGGAGATTCCACCTGAACATTAGGAAGAACTTCCTGACTGTGAGAGTTGTTCAGCAGTGGAACTCTCTGCCCTGGAGTGTGGCGGAGACTCCTTCTTTAGAGGCTTTTAAACACAGGCTGGATGGCCATCTGTCAGGGATGCTTTGAATGCAATTTTCCTGCTTCTTGGCAGGGGGTTGGACTGGGTGGCCCATGAGGTCTCTTCCAACTCTATGATTCTGTGAGCCAAGAGTGTGATGCAGCAGCTCAAAAAGCCAAGGAGATTTTGGGCTGCATCCAAAGGAGTGTCCACTTCAAATGAAATCATGGTGCCTCTTTATTCTGCTCTTTACCTGGAATACTTGTCCAATTCTAGGCAAAGCAATTTAATTTAGATATTGACTCTATGCTGGAAGGTGTCCACAGGAGGGCAAATAAAATGATCAAAGATCTGAAGACCATGAATCCCTCTGAGGAGCATCTTAAAGAACTGGGTCTGTTTAGCCTGCAGATGAGAAGGTTGAGAGGAGTCACGATAGCCATGTATAAATATGTGAAAGGTTGCCATAAGGAAGAGGGAGCAGGATTTCTTTATGCTGCCCTTGAAACCAGGGCTGGAGCAATGGGTTTAAATTACAAGAGAAGAGATTCCAGGTGAACATTAAGAAGAACTTCCTGACTGTGAGAGCTGTTCATCAGTGGAGCTCTCTGCCTTGGAGTCTGGTGGAAGCCTCTTCTGTGGAAGTTTTTAAACAGAGGCTGGATGGCCATCTGTCAGGGGTGCTTTGATTGTACTTTTCCTGCATGGCAGGAGGTTGGACTAGGTGGCCCATGTGGTTTCTTCCAACTCTGTTATTTTATTATTCTATGATTCCCTATCCAATGCATAGGGTAGTTTTCGTTTCTTGTTCAAAGCAAAAGGTCTACCAAAAAGCCAATTTCTCTTTTCCTCCTGCTCCGTTCCAGTGCCGGCAGTGCCGTCCCTCTTCATTAAAGTCCTCAACAGCACCGCAGTCCAAGCTGTGTGGGAGCCCTCCATCAAGCTGGGCCAGCACCAAGGCTTCAAGCTCTACTACCGCAAGGTCCATCTCCCCCATTTCACCGGCCCCTTGCTTTTGCCGAGCAACATCACTTCCTACAACATCAGCCAGCTTGGTGAGTAAAAAAGATGGGCAAAAAACAGAAGTCCTTAGTGCCATTGAGAAAAGACCATATTAACTTGAGTGTCACATGCTATCACATCTAATGTGCACCTCAGTTTTCAGAACCCTGATACCAAAAAAAGTATTTGCTAGCGAATATAATGCGCAGTGGCAAAAAGTTCACTCTTTGTCATTGGTCTATTACAGTTGCTGCCTTCTTACAATCCCTTCTTTAAAAACAAAAGTGTTAATTATTTAGGCGATCCCTCATTGGCTGAGTGGGATAGTCTTCCAGGATTAGTGTTCAGGTGGGTCCGTAGGTGACTGTGGAGCCCTATTCTTGATCTGCACCATCTCCCACAGTGAGGGCATTGGTTCCAGGTGGAAGGCAGTCTCGGTCGGGGTTGGCTTGACATGCTTTCCTCTTGGCACATTTCTCTTTTTTGTCCTCCATTCGTGCCTCTTCAAATTCTGCAGCACTGCTGGTCATAGCTGACCTCCATCCAGAGCACTCAAGGGCCCAGGCTTCCCATTTTTAAATCTCTTTTCCTGCCCACCAACATTCTGTTTTCCGTTCTTGAGTTCAGAGTAGAGCAACTGTTTTGGGAGACGGTGGTCAGGCATCCGGACAACGTGGCCGGTCCAGCGGAGTTGATGGCGGAGGACCATCGCTTCAATGCTGGTGGTCTTTGCTTCTTCCAGCACACTGACATTTGTCTGCCTGTCTTCCCAAGAGATTTGCAGGATTTTCCAGAGGCAGCATTAGGACCCCAAAGCTTCCAGTACTGGAGGAGAAAACATCAAGGTGCATCTATGCTGCAGAATGAATCCACTTAAACTGCCTTTGTTCAGTGCTATGCAATCATAAGGGATCTAGTCTTATAAGGTCTTGCACCTTCTCTCCCAAAGAGTGTGGATGTCTCACCAAACTACACAGGAGTCCTCCGTGGTGCAATGGGTCAAACCCTTGTGCTGGCAGGACTGAAGACTGACAGGTCAGAGGTTCGAATCTGGGGAGAGTGTGGATGAGCTCCCTCTGTCAGCTCCAGCTTCCCATGCTGGGACATGAGAGAAGCCTCCCACAAGGATGGTAAAACATCAAAACATCTGGGCGTCCCTGGACAACATCCTTGCAGGCGGCCAATTCTCTCACACCATAAGAGACTTGCAGTTTCTCAAGTTGCTCCTGACATGGAAAAAAAACCAAACTACACATCCCAGCATTGCATAGCATTGAGCTATGACAATTAAATGAGAGATGAGGTCCTTCAAAGAGGAACTCCAGTTGCTCCTGAAGCAACTTCCTCTTTTGCTTTGGCTCAGCACTCAGATGACCATATGACACAAATCTAATGCACACCCTCATTTTGGGAAAGTCGTTTAGTTTTTTTAAAGGCGAGCATTAAATTTGAGTAAATAATGTGGTTTGATATCACTTTTAACTGCCATGACACAATGCTATGGAATCCTTGTAGTTTGGTTGGGCATCATCACTCTTTGGTGGAGACAGCTAAAGACCTTGTAAAACTATAGTTTCCATGATTCCATAGCATTGGGATGTGGCAGTTAAAGTGGTGTCAGGCTGCATCTACAGTGTAGATCAGTGGTTCCCAACCTTTGAGGCTCCAGATGTTTTGGATTTCAGCTCCCACAGTTCCTAACCGCTGGTAAACTGGCTGGGATTGCTGGGAGTTGAAGTCCAAAACACCTGGAGGACCAAAGGTGGGGAACCACCAGCTGTAGATGCACCCTGTGACTCAATTCAGAATTAACAAAAAGGTGGCAAGGAGAGGACTAGATGGCCCCTGGAGGCCCTTCCAATTTTATAATTCTTTAGGACATTAAGATCTTCTGGGGAGACCCTGGTCTCGGTCCTGCCTTCCTTGCAGATGTTTTTGGCAGGGACCAGAGACAGGGCCTTCTCAGTGGTGGCCCCTCAACTGTGGAATGCCCTGCTTAGGGATAAAAGATTGGCCACCTCCCTCCTGACTTTTCGAAGAAAGGTGAAAAACCGGCTTTTTGAGCAGGCCTTCCCAAATACGGCATAGTTATATGAAATCATGGAACCACTTGATGACGCAACTGAATAATGACTTGACTTGGAGACACTCACGATAATGTTTTTAAGGCTTTGTATGGGTTTTTTTTTATATTCTTATGTTGTATGCTAATGTTTTTAACAGTATTTTATGATCATTTTATTTGTTATAATTCTTGAGGCATCAAATTGTTGCCGATTGTGAACACTCTGAGTCGCCTCTGGGCTGAGAGGGGCGGTTTATAAATGTGGCAAATAAATAAATAAATAAATGGATAGATAAATAAATAAATTTGCCCTTTCCCCGTCTGTGGTTGCCATAGAAGCACTTGGAGCAACGGAGGCAGGTGGCCAACCTAACCATACAGTGTCATTCCTAAATGTGGCTCTGCATCTTTTCCTTTCAGATCCATCGGTGGTGTATGAAGTCAAGCTCCTTGCTTACAACCAACATGGCGACGGGAATGCCACTGTCCGCTTTGTGTCCCTGCGAGAGACTGTTGACCGGACAGGTGAGAGTTTACACTTACATTCTGTTTGGACAATCATAACACATATGAGGCAGCCATTGGAAACTGGTCAGAAATGGCACTGGATCCAAACGCTGTGGTTGAACTGGGGCTGTTTGCAGTGACTTCACGTGTGGAAAACCCTCTCTTGTTCCTCACAAGCTCTCTTTGAACCTAGGCCTGAGCCAACCCTGCAACTGTATGAAAGATGAGCAGACCAACAAGACCTCGGCTACCGGCATCATCATCGGGATCCACATCGGCGTCACCTGCATCATCTTCTGCGTTCTCTTCCTCATGTTTGGCTATAGAGGACGGTAAGATGTGTGCAGAGTCTGATGGATTTGGGATGGGCCATCTCAGGAATAATAATAATAATAATCAGCGGATGACCTAAAATGCAGACTGTGCAAGGAATAATAATAACAACAACAACAACAACAACAACAACAACAACAACAACAACTTTGTTTATACCCCGCCACCAGAGTAGGGTATGTCTAGGCATGGGGGTTTTAAAGAGTGATATGGGGGGATCAATCCAATGGATAGAGAAAATGCTTCAGAGGACATATAGAAGGAAATTGGTCAGATTGAGCATGGACCATATCCTCAGCTGTTGCAAGAAAATCGCACAGATGGACTACAAACAAAGATATAACTCTGTGGCTCAGATGATTCACTGGAACTTATGTCACAAGTACCACCTGCCAGCAGTAAAGAATTGGTGGGATCATAAACCCGCAAAGGTTGTGGAAAATGAACATGCAAAAATACTGTGGGACTTTCGGATCCAGACTGACAAAGTTTTGGAACACAATATACCAGACATCACAATTGAGGAAAAGAAAAATGTCTGGATTATTGATGTCACCATACCAGGTGACAGCCGCATTGAAGAAAAACAACATGAAAAACTATCAAGACCTCAAAATCGAACTGCAAAGGCTCTGGCATAAACCAGTACAGGTGGTCCCAGTGGTCATCGTCACACTGGATGCCGTGCCAAAACATCTCAGCCAGCATTTGGAAACAATAAACATCGACTAAATCGCAATCTGTCAACTGCAAAAGGCCACCTACCTTGGATCTGTGCACATCATTCAAAAATACATCACACAGTCCTAGACACTTGGAAGTGTTCGACTTGTAATTTTTTGATGCAAAATCCAGCATATAGATCTCATTTGCTGTGACATACTGTGCTTTTGTGTCAGTAAAATAATAATGATAATAATAATAATAATAATAATCAACTTTATTTATACCCCACCACCATCTCCCCAAGGGGACTCGGGGCAGCTTACGTGAGACCAAGCCCAACAGTACAGAAGAGCATATACAACATCAAATACAAATGGCAAAATATAATGAAAATAAAAAATAAATACAGAAAACTATACAAATGCACACACCAAACAATATAAGATCACAGTAATTGAATCACACACACACACACACAAATCACAGTGTGCAGTGGGCAGCGCAAGTTGCAAAGATTAAAAGTTTAAAAACACTGGGTGAGCAGGCCCTGTAATGTATCTAGACAGAGGATCAGAGGGACAAAAATGAGGTTTAATTGCACTAGAAGATGGGATACAGTGCTTCTGAGGGCATTTATGCAGGGTTTGGCCAAGGTCAGGGATTATAGTTCATTCATCGAAGGCACACTGGAATAACCAAGTTTTCAGACTCTTTCTAAACTCTGCCAGGTTGGGGGCTTGCCTAATTTCTCTGAGGAGCGAGTTCCAGAGCCAAGGGGCCACCACGAAGAAGCCCCTCTCCCTTGTCCCCACAAGTCACACTTGCGATGGGGGCAGGAGCGAGAGAAGGGCCTCTCCAGAAGATCGAAGGGATCATATAGGCTTGTAAAAGGAAATGCGGTCACGAAAGTAGGCGGTTCCCAAACAATTCCCAAATAAACGGCTACCAATGAAGCTCCTTAAACAGGGAGGTTTTTGAATCAGGATTTCCCATATTGGGGATTCCAGCTTTCCCTAAGCTGATGCTTTTCCTAAAAATCAGACCATGCATTGGTCCAGATGTATTAGGTTACAACTCACATCAGCCCAGTGACTTTCCATCTCAGTCTTGTTCCCATTCTCCAAAACCTCAGGCAGGAGTTTTTCAAGCTCTGTTTGGAGATACCAAGCGCTGTACCTTAGGTCTTTTTCTTGCATAGCCTGGGCTCTGCCATTGAATGATGGCCCTTCCCATAAGTTTCACAACTTTCTGTAAACTGTAAAAATGCCCTGCAAGACCAATTTATATTACTCCCCCCGCTTGCTTTTTCACAGACTACTGATGTGTAAGAATGTCCAGGAGCAGTTGTCGACACCGCAGGTCCCAAGAAGCCAGAGGAATGCTGCCACCTTGGCCCTCAATGGAGCTGCCCAGAGGGAAAGGGAGGATCCGGACGCCAATGGGAAACAGCTGGATATGAATGAGCTGGAGAGGTTGTTCCCGGCACCGCCTTCCCCGCCTGATCCACACTGCAAAGAGAGCATGGTAAGAAGGGGAACAAGGACTTGAGTTTGTTTGCTGAATCAGCTTACACCAGAGAGACCTGTAAGCTGGGTAAACGGTAACACGAGCACTTATATACATCCCCTTGTTTCAATGGATCATAGAATCATAGAATCAAAGAGTTGGAAGAGACCCCATGGGCCATCCAGTCCAACCCCCTGCCAAGAAGCAGGAATATTGCATTCAAATCACCCCTCACAGATGGCCATCCGGCCTCTGTTTAAAAGCTTCCAAAGAAGGAGCCTCCACCACACTCCTGGGCAGAGAGTTCCACTGCTGAACGGCTCTCACAGTCAGGAAGTTCTTCCTCATGTTCAGATGGAATCTCCTTTCTTGTAGTTTGAAGCCATTGTTCCACGTCCTAGTCTCCAGGGAAGCAGAAAATAAGCTTGCTCCCTCCTCCCTGTGGCTTCCTCTCACATATTTATACATGGCTATCATATCTCCTCTCAGCCTTCTCTTCTTCAGGCTAAACATGCCCAGCTCCTTAAGCCGCTCCTCATAGGGCTTGTTCTCCAGACCCTTGATCATTTTAGTTGCCCTCCTCTGGACACATTCCAGCTTGTCAATATCTCTCTTGAATTGTGGTGCCCAGAATTGGACACAATATTCCAGGTGTGGTCTAACCAAAGCAGAATAGAGGGGTAGCATTACTTCCCTAGATCTAGACATTATGCTCCTATTGATGCAGGCCAAAATACCATTGGCTTTTTTTTGCCACCACATCACATTGTTGGCTCATGTTTAACTTGTTGTCCACGAGGACTCCAAGATCATTTTCACACGTACTGCTCTCGAGCCAGGCGTCCCCCATTCTGTATCTTTGCATTTCATTTTTTCTGCCAAAGTGGAGTATCTTGCATTTGTCACTGTTGAACTTCATTTTGTTAGTTTTGGCCCATCTCTCTAATCTGTCAAGATCGTTTTGAATCCTGCTCCTGTCCTCTGGAGTATTGGCTATCCCTCCCAATTTGGTGTCGCCTGCAAACTTGATGATCCTGCCTTCTAACTCTTCATCTAAGTCATTAATAAAGATGTTGAACCCAAGAAGGGATCAGCCATTGGATTTAGGCCAGGAGTGGGAATCAAATAGCCCTCCAGAGATTGTCAGAATGCAGCTCCCATTGGTCCCAATTGCAGGAAGAGAAAGAATATTCCAAAAAAGTAACTTATTTACTTAGGTGATCTCTCGTATGATGGCTTTCCAAGTTCAGTGTCTTAGCAGTGGGTCAGTAAGTGATTGTGAAGCCCTATTTTTGAACCGCATGTTCTTCCACAGTGAGGACATGGCACGTTTCTCCCTTTTGCCCTCCATTCATGCCTCTTCAAATTCCACAGCACTGCTGGTCACAGCTGACCTCCAGTTAGAGCACTCAAAGGCCAGGGCTTGTCCAAAAAAGCACAAAGGATATGTCCCAGTATTCCATTTTAATTGCTGGGGAATCTGGGGGTTTGTTGCTTGATGTGCACCAGAGACCTTTGGCTGAATGTTCTCAATAATTCTCCCAGGATTCAACAACAACAACAACAACAACAACAACAATCTATATAAATAAAAATATAATGTTCGTTTGTGGGATTAACATAACCCAAAAACCAATGGATGAATTGACACAAAATTTGGACGCAATACACCTATCAGGCCAACGAGTGACCATCACTCATAAAAACTAGGGGACTCAGAGCAGATTACAGCATTTACATACATAGGCAAAGATTCAATGTCTTTACAATAATATGTAATGAGACACACAAACAAAGGCAGAGGCTTCTCCTTTCATTTCCGGCTTCTGGAGGCGGTGCGCATCTCTGGCTCTGGAGAGGTGCTTTCTCCACTTTCAAGCCAAGGAGCCTGTGTTGTCACCTCCTGGTTGTGTAGCCAGCAAGATTGCTCTTTGCCTTTTCCTGCCAAAGCAGTATCTATTTATCTACTCACATTTGCATGTTTTCAAGCTACTAAGTTGACAGGAACTGGAGCTGACAGATGGGAGCTCACCCTGTCTCGTGGGTTCGAACTGCCAACCTTCAGATCAGCAGTTCAGTGGCACAAGGGTTCAGTGGCACCATGGTTCCTAATAAAAATAACTTTATTTATATTCTGCCCCATCTCCCCAAGGGGACTTGGGGCGGCTTAGAAGATAACAGCAAATCAAACAAGAACACGATAAAATATACAGCAATTAACCTACATCAATTTATTTTATTTATATATTTACAGTATTTATATTCCACCTTTCTCACCCCACAGGGGACTCAGGTGGATTACAATGTACATATACATGGCAAACATTCAATGCCGTAGACACACAATATACATAGACAGACACTCAGAGGCTATTTAACATTCCAGCTTCTGGCCACCAGGGGAGCTGTCACTTCACTGTCCATTTGTGACACTGATGAAGTACATCCTTGTTCTTTGCATACTTCCTGGAGATTTTTATGGCCTCGTAAATCAGTTAAATTAGCCTACCCACATAAATGGTACCTAAATTTCCTACTTGACAGATGCAACTGCCTTTCAGGCTGCAAAGGTTGACAACAAGCTACACAATTTTGGTCAGAAGCTCACTCGACCCGGGCTGTCTTCAAACTCATGACCTTTTGGTCAGTAGTGATCTTAATGCACCTGACTCCCAGCCAGCTGCGCCACAGTCCCAAAAGAAATAAAAGTAAAACATGACAAATGAAATTTAACATAAAACACATCAAAACAAAGGAAAACGAAAAGTAAACACAGCAAAGGATTAAAAGTTGAGAGTTAAAAACTGTAGTATATGATGGAGGGATAAGTGACTATAGGGACATAAAGGCAAGCAACCCAAATGACACTGCTGCAAAAAGTAATTGCTAAAAAACCAGTTACAATATTACCCAAACATTCCTGGAATTCTACAACATACATATATTAAAATACAAGGAACAAAACTAAAATATAGTGAACAAAAGATGCTGAAGTTAAAGTAGAATCAGCACTCTACTTACATAAGGTGGATGTCAACATTGGCTTTTGGAAGAGGGTTGCAAATGACTCTTGTGCATTCAAATAACCTTTCCCTCCCTCACTGTCTCTCCTCAGTTGGATCACAGTCTTCCTACCTCACATGATGAAACCCAGATATCCACGCTTCCGCCCGATGAGTTCAGCATCATCGAAGAGCAAGGCGACACCCCGTTTCCAAGCCTGTCTTCGGACGATGCCTGCTCAGCCTCAGCCAAGGAGAACCAGCTTTGAACCCAGCTCCAACCAATGAAGGATAAGTGACCAACACGGTCGAGCTTCTGATCGGACTCTCCAGCCAACGTTGGATTAGTCTCTGGTGATGTCTTTAAGAGGACTCATCAATCTCAGGTCAATTTAAGTCTGTTTCTTTGCGAAAACACAGGTGTACTGTCCGTGGGCAGCCTTGTGGAAGCTTCATGAAGTCTGCCTTTCTGACCTCCCTCAGGTCTTTGCGTACCTTCTTTCCTATCCAAATCTGAGCTGGGTAGGTTTCAGAAGACATTTTGGCCCACCGCCTAGTCACCATTGACACCAAATGTGATGGGGACCGTGGGCTGACTCAGTTTACCAATGCGTTCCTCCCTCTGGCAGCTTTAGTAAAATTACTCTGTGGATTCTCTTTGGCAAAATGTGGAGAGAACCGATTCTGGCAGACCTCTCCAATGTCGGCTTTCTCCCAAAAACTCTGCAGGTGCTTGGTTGGCCAAACCTTCTACATGGATTTATGGACACTTTTTGCCACGTGCGTTCGGCTCTCTGTGATTCTCAGGATGTGTTTTTTCTTCTTCTTGTTGCTGATGAACTGCTCGAAAGGCAAAACAAGTGTGTCAAAAACATGTTTTTAAGCCTGCACGAAGGCTACTGAAAGAAAAGACTTGGACGGACATCCCGAGCAAAATCAGAACCTACCTCAACCGGAATTGAATGTCTTCTGGGAAGAAGCAAAGCTCTTGTGTCTTCCTTTTGTTTTCAAAGCAAGTAGTGTAGCATTTTGGTCAGTAGGCGTTTTGGTACTACCTCAGAAGTCACGCTCCATGTCTACCACGTTGGTTGTTGTTTTGTTTTTTTTATTTTGTCAACAAAAGTATTCCTTTGATTCTCATTGTCGTCCCAATGTAAAGCACTTCCAAAACCTTGAAAGCAATGTTCTACCTCAAGATGTTTTTATAGAAGAATGGTGTGTCGTGTCGTCAGACCTCTTTGCCCTTCGCCTCTCTTCCTTCGGCTCAGTCCCTGCGTTCCAAAAAAGTGGGGACTGAGAGCAGAGTGGACTCATGTGTCCAGTAGATGACATTTCCCCTTTTAGTCTCATATGCTTGCTAGCTAATTTGTGTAGGCTTTTCTTACTGTCTCAAGAGTTGCTTTTAATATCATGTTTGTCTCTTTTGTAAAAATAATAATAATTAAAGATTGTTAGGGTTGTAGCAAAAGGCAGGTCACCCGTTGCTAGCTTCTGCCCATAATGCAGGGGTGGGCCAACTTGTGTCCAAAACACAATCCTTCCTGATTGAAGCATGGGGTGTATCAGTGGGTACCATGGCCACCTAAGGTCCCATGGGGGCAGTGTAGCCCTTTTACCCCTTGAGGTTGCCCACCACTGCTGTAATGGGTCACTACTGGTCCACAGGTTGCTACTGAAGACTACTGCTCTCTATCCAAAGCTGGTTCACACCAGGGATGTTCCTTAGATGATCAAGTTATAGCCACATGGATAAATTGAGGCACCATAACTGGACTTCTTGTATCACTTTGCAGTGGACATAAGGCTATTCATTGGTTACAGTTACCATAACTGGACTTCTTGTATCACTTTGCAGTGGACATAAGGCTATTCATTGGTTCCAGTCACCTTGTATTTTTATATATATATATTTCATGTCAGGAGTGGCTTGAGAAACTACAAGTCACTTCTAGTGTGAAATAATTGGCCGTCTGCAAGGACGTTGCCCAGGGGACACCCGAATGTTTTGATGTTTTACCATCCTTGTGGGAGGCTTCTCTAATGTCCCCACATGGGGAGCTGGAGCTGACAGAGGGAGCTCATCCATGCTCTCCCCAGATTCAGACCTCTGACCTATCAGTCTTCAGTCCTACCGGCACAAAGATTTAACCCATTGCACCACCAGGGGCTCCTTTACTTTTATTAAAAGGTCAAATATGGGTCCATCAAACCTTGAGTTTTTTCCTCAGACTGCGACCTCTGCAATATAATACGGATCTGCATCGAACTGGATTATTTGAGTCTACACTGCCCAATAATCCAGTTCAAAGCAGATAATCTAGATTTTATATGGCAGCGTAGAAGGGGGCTGACAGTGTCTCTTCCGGGTCTCTAGTAGACAACCATCTCCAGAGCTCCCTTTCCACTGGAGATGCTCTGAGTCAAGCGTAGGGCCTTCTGCATGCAAAGTGAATACTCTACAACCAACCTATGACATTCCTGAGCCTTTTCTGCTGAAGGAAAGCCTATTGTCTTTCCAGATAAGCCTGCCCACATTCATTATTCCTAAGCTTTAGTTGTGGTTTCTCCAGAGCTTGGAGTCCTTGCTTTGGGAAGTTCTCAGAATATCTTAACTCAGCTTGGTGGATTTTGGGTGTTGTAGGGCTTCACTTTATAGTCCACTCCTACTAGAATGGATCCGCTGACTTTATCTTATGTGTTGAGTCATTGGAGATACTCCAGTTGGGATTAACCAATAGGAACCAGTCAATTGTTTCCCAAAGTTACTTTACCAAGTTGTAGTGAGGCAGTTGATCTACCTAGTCTTTAAGGTTGCAGGCTATGAGGAAACCTTGTATTTTTAGCTCTCCTGGTTACAACCCCTTAAACTTTGAGAAACAAGGTATGGAACCTTTGAAAACAAAACTTGTGTTGTGTCACTGCGCATTATCCACTTCTGACAGGTAAAGCTATACAAACTGCTCACGTCATCCTGGAAGGGAAGGGTGCCATGCTTCTCTCAGCATCAGGCTAGTGATGAAACGATGGCCTTGTTCATGTGAAATGTGTGAACCATTTGCAGGTCTAGGGTGATCTGTGGACCAGTAAGACCTGTTGTCTAATAGGGGATGGATACTGCTTGGTGGGCCTCTGCTTGGTCCTTAGCAGTTGGCTTCTCCTGGTTTGCTTTGTAGGTGACTGGTGTGGCGCCATCGGTGATGGACCTCATGTTTTGAAGCCTTAGAATGTAGCACGTTTTCTCGATAGACTGGCGACCTACCTCAGTTATAAGTAGTCAGCGTGACCAAGCGATGTGGGGAAAAGGATGAGCAATGTCTCCAATATGGTTATTGGTGGGAGAGAATGATCAAAATGATGACAAACCCCACCTGACGTCTGTTGACGTGGGCCAAAGCATGCATGAGCCGGATGAGTCTCCCTCATTTTCCAGAATGGTGGAAGCTCACTTTGTCTGCTCTGGTGGAAAACAGGGCCATGTGGGACAAAGCTGAAGATTTAAGAGGTGAAGCCAACTACCTCTTGACTTCCATTGGTAATACAAGGATCCCATGTTTGTGGAGCTGTGAATCGACTCCAGGTTTGAGTTCAGACATTATCCAATATGTTCAATCCTATCCCACCTTATTTATGGTCCACTCCCACTAGAATGGGCAGCTTTGGATCAGTGAAAAAATACCTTCTAGTTCAGCCATGACCAAACTTCTGCCCTCCACGTGTTTTGGACTTCAACTCCCACATTTCTACTGTCTGTTAGGAATTGTGGGAGTTGGAGTTCAAAACACCTGGAAGACCTAAGTTTGCCCGTGCCTGGGCGATACCTTTGGTGTCCACATCAGCCACTCCATTGTCATGTTTCCTTTTCTATATATATAAATATATCTAATTTTATTTTAGTATGTTTAATTCTAATAGCTATTTTTATAACTGTTGTTTTTGAAAAAATAATTAAAATATTTTTTGGTTAAGAAGCAAAAGGAATCAAAGAAGGATAGGGGAAGGAAGACATTAAGTTTGGTTGTTTTTTTTAAATGCCTCAACAATATTATTATGACCTTTACAAAGAACAGAAAAACCAATGCTCCCCAAATTCTCCATTTTGAGCACCAGCAAGAGGCGATCAGGTGGCTTTTCTGCCATGGCTTGGCTCCTTCATCACCTAAAATATTTGTGTTATTGAGCGCAAACTTTGACATGTAGAGTGTATTTACTGTGAGTGTAAATAAGACCCAACAGGACAATATGTGTATCTGGATGTGAATCTCTTGTTTCGTGGCATTGTTACCAAATAAGATGGTTTCGGTGGCTCTCTAGACAGTGTATAAGGATGGGAAGGTGGCATCCTTTTTGGATTTTAGTTTGAACTTTAAAGGAGCCACACATTCTGCTGAAGTCACCTCACCTCCAAAGAGGTACAGCATGTTGGAGAACCCCTTTAAAATTCAGATTAAAACCCAAAGTGGCTTTACGGTCCCACTGATATAAGAACCAGCATGGCAGCTGCCACACAGCAGAAGAGGACAGTCTGTGAGCATAGTGTCAGATGTGGGTCCGAGAGAGAGACACAGACTGGGACCCTATGTTGGTGGTGGCCTTTATTCCAAGAGCATTTGGGAAATGTTGTGTTCAACATGTGGCCCTCCAGGTGCTGTTGGAGAGCTTTTCCCATCCTCACTCTCTTTGGGATATGCTGATGTGGCCTGATGGTTCTCATTCACGATTGGCAATTGATCACCCTCACTAACATTTGGCTATGTTGATTTGACTGTGTGGCTATGGCCAATGGTGCTCACTTGATATTGATTGCATTGATATGGCCTGATGTTCCTCACTCAATATTGACTGTGTTGCTATTGCCAATGGAGCTCACTCAATATTGAATATGTTGATATGGTCTGATGTTCCTCCTTGACCATTTTGCTATGGCCAATGGTGCTTACTCAATTTTGCCTATGCTGATATGGTCTGATGTTCCTCACTCAATATTGACTGTGTTGCTATGGCCAATGGTGCTCACTCCACATGGACTGTGTTGATATGGCCTGATGTTCTTCATTCAATATTGACTGTGTTGCTATGGCCAATATTCTTCACTCAGTATTGACTATGTTGATATGGCCTGATGTTCCTCACTCAATATTGACTGTGTTGATATGGCCTGATGTTCCTCACTCAATATTGACTGTGTTACTATGGCTTGATGTCCATCACTCAGTATTGACTGTGTTTCTATAGCCAATGGTGCTCACTCAATATTGACTATGTTACTGTGCCCTGATGTTCATCACTCAATATTGAATATGTTGATATGGCCTGATGTTCCTCATTAACTGTGTTGCTATGGCTAATGGTGCTCACTCAGTATTGACTATGTTGACATGACCTTTGCCAATGGTGCTCACTCTATATTGACTACGTTGATGTGGCCTGATGCTCCCCACTCAATGTTGTCTGTGTTGCTGTGGCCAAAGGAAGGAGGTAAAATGGAATTTGCGATGAATTTAGTCATTAGTAAATCCTGATCTCTGACCAAATAAAATAATACAAAATTGTGAGACCTAGGTTGTATTACCCCTGTGTTACATCACTAGCATTGGCTCCGGAGTACCTTCTTTTTTTTGAACGGTCACTCTCAAAATCCCAAGCCAACAATGAAAAAAATTAAAAGTAGCTCTGTGTTCTTCCATTCAAGAAATGTGGTCTTTAGTTCTCACCTTGCCACCTGTTTCTGATGGTTTAAGGCTTAGTTTACATTGTAATAGCTAAGAAACAAAAAGAGAAAAAAAGAAAGAAATGCCTTTGCTTTGATTGTACGTCCAATTACAACATTAATAAGACACATCTTTTTTCAGGGTGAACTTTATCTAGTAACCGTTTTTTTTTTAAAAAAACATGATTTGTCTAAAAAAATTTTTAAAAATCAGATGTGAAGTTTTTAAAAAATCTATTGCCAAAGCAAGACACCTAATTTTTTTGAAAACTAGCTTCGGCTTCAAATTGCTCCTGGGTTGTATGAACCTGTTCTTATTTTAATACCATGTTATTGTGATGCTGTAAACAAGTATTTTGTCACTGTTTCCTTTGTGTAAAAGGGAAAATGTTGTGCCATTTTATTAGAGACATTACAGTAGGAAATTTTCTTTCTTCTCTCCCTCCCTCCCTCCCTTCCTTCCTTCCTTCCTTCCTTCCTTCCTTCCTTCCTTCCTTCCTTCCTTCCTTCCTTCCTTCCTTCTTTCTTGTTTTGCCTTCCAGTAAATGTAATGGCTTCACCCAATGCGGATTTCCCATTGGCACAAGGCAACGGATGATGGATGTGAACCCCTACAGAATATAATTATTAATAATTATTATTAATTTTATTCTCTTTGAAAATATCATTAGATTGTTTCTCTGTTGGGGGGATTTCTTTGACCTAGCTAGTTAGCCAGAGATGTTTCCAATAGACCAGCCTTTGCAGAAGGTCTTCATGACCTATCCTTGATGACAAAACAAGATGAAGGGAATCTGTGCTTGTTTTGGGCCATGTTTTGCCTCTTCC